TCGCTTTGGAGCAATGGCATCAAGCTCATCGATGAAGATAATGGCAGGAGCATTCTTTTCTGCTTCCTCAAAGGCCTTTCTCAGGTTACTCTCACTCTCTCCTGCCAGCTTACTCATGATTTCAGGGCCTAAAATAAATAGAAATCAAAGCATTTGAATTTTAAACAAAATTATTTGATATTATTTATAAACTATAACTTTTGAGAACTAATTAAAACCCATGGATTCCCCTAAAGCAAAAGACATAGCAGTAGCAATTGCTTAAAATATCTAAAACAAAAAAGGAAATGAAAAAAAATGTTCAAACCATTAATTAGGAAGAAGAAAGCTCCAGTTTCATTGGCCACAGCTCTTGCAATCAGGGTCTTTCCTGTTCCAGGGGGTCCATACAGCAAAATTCCACGAGGGGGCTGTGAGGAGAAGAAAATGTAATGTTTCCTCAAAGAATTCCCTTACTTTACTCATGCTGCACTAAAGATATTGCAAAACTTGATGTAATTTACCACTTAATATACCCTCAGACTTGATGTATCCAATATTAGGGACAGTAGACCTGACAGTCAATTGAAAAACAGCTCACAAAATAGCCAAAAGTAATTACTCACTAACTCATGCCCTATTGCACTTGGTGTTGCACTGGGTGTTGGGTATTGAAATAAAAGTTTCTGAAGCATTCATCATTTCAAACCACCAAGCTGCAGCTGCACCAGTTTCACCCTCTGCTCTACTGTTTGTGTGCAGGCAGCCAAGCAAACAGATTTTGAATATTTTTAAATCCCAACCGTGTTCATTAAGGCAAACTTATCTGTAGGACGTTACAGTTACCTGTATAGATAACTTGTCAGCCCTATTCTGCCCCCACTTGCCAGAAAGTACGACATTCATACGACTTTCATAATAACGTGTATTTTATTAAAAATTATGTTGTTACACATACTCTGATATAGAAGAAAAAAAATGGACTGGAGGACATGTAAAAAGAGTACGTGTAATACCTTGACTCCTATGGCCTTGAACAGTGCTGGGTGTCTAAGAGGCAGCTCCACCATCTCTTTGATCTGAGCCAACTGCTTCCTCACACCTCCAATGTCATCATAGCCAACCTCATTCAGTGACTCCTCTTCATCCTGAACATCCAAAAATCAAAGGATTAAATTATATTGTTCTTTATTGATTGATGAGAAACACTACATGGCAACCCACCACCCACCTCTCTCCTGATTGGATCTCCCTCACAATGGATGACTGTATCGGGAGCAACAATGCAGTATGGAGAGGGATCAGTCTCTACAACTTTGAACTCCACAGCACGCATGCCACCTCTGACCAGGAAGATATCACCTTCACAATGTAAGACATTGTTAGTTTGAAAAGAGATGGCACAACAGATAATTCAGGCAAATTTAATTTTTAATTTTGTACTCACCTTTGCGTATTGGTCTGTAAGCCTCCAAAAAGTAGGGCTTGAGGTAAACTTCAAACAGATTACCAGTAATTCCTTCAACTGTGTCATCTATAGGGAGGACATGAATCCTCTTTCCATATTTCACATCAGGGCATGGCTGAATGCTGAAGAAAATGTCAAGACTTAATAATTTCTTTGACATTTAATGATATTTTATATTAAAAAATATTGCTGATAAACGATATTGTCAACATTACCTTGAGACTAAATTAACCACTAATGTAATAAAAATGTATAATAACGCACAAACACCCTCTTTAAATGCAATAATCCTTTTCTAAGGAGTATTTTTACCCATTATCAAATTTCAAATGGTAACTGAATGTGTATTTACTCACCTAATGACATCACCAAGACGGACCCTCAGATTGTTGCGGACAACTCTGTTCATCCGGACCTTTTCATCTGAGCAGGTATCATCTGACAGTACGATGCACACAGTTTCCCGCCTTTTCTTTCCCTTCATCAGAACTGTGTCGCCACGGAAGAGCTGCAGCTCATCCATCTTGGTCTAAAGACAATGATGTCTCCCTTATATTTTGGTTTATCGTTTTTACATTTTACATTTATGTCAACAGACAAGGATTAAAAAAAAAAAAAAAAAAAAAAATCCATAGGAGTCTTAGCAGTTCAAAAACAGTGTAAACAATGTTTCTCTAAAATAATTCTCTATTTTATGCTCTAAGTTGGGGCAGAAAGGAGTAATATGTAGGATTATAATGTCTGTCAGTGTTAAGTGTGTTTTTTTGTGTGTGGCCATATTGAGTCTGCAAATATGAATACCCACAACTCTACATAGGTCTGCAACCTTTTAGATACACTAAGCATCAAAATATTCACCTGTGACAGAGAGACCACACTGTTGTCTTCATTGATGGATTCATCAACAACCAGTCTGTTGGGTCTGTTCTTCTGTTTCAAAATTGCAGTGGCTAGATCATCACTTTTGGATCTGGAATAAGCAGAATATTGATAAAACTGACTAATAACCAAATAAATAAGCAAGTGTGCAAGACAACAAAACTTTTTCTCAAATGATAACCCTGACCAAAGCCACCCATGATGGATTGTGTTTTAGGTGTATCTAGGCAACGTCTACAAGGAAAGTGAACACCCCCTTGGCTAACTCTCTAAAAGGACACCTTTCAACTCAAGTGGTTAATATAAATAATTAACCAACTTAACGTTACACAAGACATTAACTAAACTTTACAAGGCAAATTATTATTATTAATTCATATTATATAGAACTGTGAATGTGATCATCCCATCTGTGCACACTTTTGTTAATATATTTTTTGTACCAATTCATTATTAATAATAACCTAAGTCATAAAATTCAGCAGATTAAGAAACACTCAAATTTAACTGCCTGAACACCTGAAACTTATCCGTACCCAATCAATCTGAAAACATGTTTTTTGATATATAATCATTAGCCTTCAGATACATAAGACTCCCCTCCCCTTGTGCAACTTCCATTTCAGTCTGGTCTTTGTATTATTTATGCAGAAACAGGAGTACAGAAGAACTCCTTCTGTACCCATCACTTCCAATGTTAATACTTTCATCATTTTATTCAAAACGTATTATGTCTCTATGATCATGTCAAAGCATCATTTCCCCCATTGTTGGACGAATAAATGACTTCTTAATCGTAATCAAAATGTATTATTTTGACACGTATTTTCTAAATTAAAATTCTTACACTAATAAGTCAAAGGCCAGTTACAGTTTGTTTAAGTTAAATATTAATCTGTATTGTGTACAAAAAAAGTTATGCTTCACCTTGTTTGATTTTTTCCCCATAAAAAAAACAAACAAAAAAAAAAACCCCAGCAAATTCCCGAATCTTTGTATCCGTCAGTGCTAACTGGTATTTCAAACAACTTACTCAGTACAAGGAGTGTTACATAGGAAAAATTAATTTCCTCATATAGCGTATATTTATAACTACAACGACCTTTATAAAAACCCATTTGATCGCTATTGAGGTTTCCCTTTCGCATAGTTAGCATGCTAACAGCTAACCGTCTGAGCCCAGATGACACAGCAAAAGAATTAAGGGGAAAAAAAACGTTCTTAGCTGTATAGAGCTTCTCCTGTGAATACCGATGTTAACATTTTTAGGGGAACAATGATAACGATCCACATGTATAATTTCTTAGGACATTTCTCTTACTTTTAGCCAACATTGACATAAAGCAAGAATAAATTCACGATCGTTTTAAATGAATCACGAGCGCTGTTAGCCTGCTAGCTTCGTTACATCGCAATCTTCATTCAGCACCACGTACGATTAGCAGTATTTTAACCAACGTTTTTCCACGTAAATGCAACTAAAATATTGAATGTATTGTTTCTATTTTGTTCTGTACGTTCAATATACCAACAGCATTTCACGCTAAATGTTTGCCGGTGGTTAAGGCCAATTTCCCGTTGTGACGGTGGATGGATTTGGCCTTGACACTTATGCTAAGCTAACATTAGCATTCAAACACGACAGCAATGACTGCGCTTTGTCAAGTCGCTGTCACGCAGCTAGTTAACACAGTGCTGGTTACTATATGTCGATACATTTCAACATCGGGGGTATATCACACAAATTTGATCAATTTTACAGCATTACTGTGGTTCTCAAAAAAATACAACGCCTAGTGGAAAATAAAGTGACCCCATTAACTCTGACACTAGCAAACAGTGTTTTAGTAGTGGTGCTATCTCTGACAAACTAAAACAAAACGCTGACGTTAAGCCATTGGAGGACATTTGTTCCCAGTCATTGTTCAGAAAATTTACTTTGTTGAAACAATATAAACGTCAACTTACTCCCCTCCCGATGCCATGGTTGTCCACCTGGGTATTCTATCAATAAATAAATGCTAAATACTGTTGGTGCTTTAACCGCTTCTCGTTCTTCAACGTTCTCGAAGACTTCACACGAAAGACCAGCAGTTTCCGTGCTTTTCTTAAACAGTTATAGCGTCAACGGGACGGATTCTGCGCTCTGATTGGCTAGAGGCTCTATGACAAATTAGCTAGCCAATGGCAGATGCCCAAGTCTGTCGTCACCCAGAGTAGAATGCCTTCTGATTGGTAAGTCGTGGTATTAAACGGCTGTTAATGTCTATAAAGGTCCATGACTGCCCTTTTCTGGGTTCTTCAGGTTTTAAACCTATTTCCTTCCTCCTTGACCCCTTTTATCTCCACTTTGTTATCCCTTATTTAATGTACGTACAATATAACCTCCCCAATAATTGCATATTAATTTTAACCATCGTTTTAATTAACAAACATCAATCATTGTAGGACATTAAAGGATTAAAGACTGCTATTGTAGAGACCTGGGAAAATTTAAAAAACAAAACAAGGGACCTTAATATTTTCTGAATGTAACTCAAAACTTAGAAAAGTGCAGACACACTGAACCAGGCACAAGTCCAACCAAAATTCAACATAAAGAGACATAATAATTAATTACATGTATAAACATTTTACAGCCCCTGAAGCCCCAAATTGCTTTTCAAGACAGCAAGCAATTTACAATATGCTTTATTTTAGAGAGATTTCTGTTGTATGCATAGGTTGTAGTCCTTAAGTTAGTCTTTCCGTAGTCTTCTGTTGTCCTGGTTCATGTTGACCTGGTCGGACCAAGTTCTTGTATTCTCTTCCGTATCTCTGTGGAGTCAAGTAAAGATCCCAACTGGGGTTCTTGTAGGTATAGTGGTAGATCACTGCAGTGAGGCAGATTAGGAGACAGTTAGTAGAATAAATAAAATAAATAAACAAAATAAATTTGTACTATATTGATCCCATATTTGGAAAATTGTTGTTAGCAGCAGATATGCTGTTTACAGGCTGCCCCTAGCAAGCACCAAGCATGTGGTTGCCCTGGGAATCGAACCCAGGACTCTCTGCTCTGTTTCCGAGGCAGGTGTGCTACGCTATGGAACGACTTTAATTACGTCACAAAAAATAATAAAAGGTATTATTTAGATTATTTTAACCCCTCTTTATACTTAACACATCACATGTTTGAATCAAGGAAACAAGTTACAGACGATGTTACTTTATGACCAGGGCTTAAAAGTACAATGGACTGGACATATGGTAAATAAGAACCCATGGGCTGAGTGACACCAGTGAATACAAGAATGACAGCTCCTTACTCCACTGTGGATTGTGTGCTGTAGCTCCAGGTCTTTTCCCAACAAGCTGCTGCCTCTCTCCTCCTGCCAAGCTTCCACAGCACTTCACCACACCACAGCCCTGCAACCACACACTCTAAAAACACACAAAACAAGATGAGGATCATATCAACTCACAACAGGGTCACTTCACTGTCTTTTACTGCATTTGTGTCAATGCCAACCGTGTCTGCGCACAATGTAATAAAACTGTTGGTGCACGATATGGCATGAAGGGCATAATTACACCATATTGGCAAGATATTTTAATTTTTAATAATATAAAAGATTTCCAAATCTACTCTACCAGTAACCCAATAAAACAGTATTTCTTTTTAAAAACCGCAGTGTCAAAAATAGCTCAGCAATCTGCTGTACTGATAATGAACTGGAGGTTGTGTTGTGAACACATTGTACCAGGGAAAGCGTGTAGACTGAGCTGCAGGTCTCTAAGGGCCTCCTGTAGATGATCAGTCAGGGTGAAGCTGACACCTCTTCCAACCAGAGAAAGACCCTTCAGCCTTTGGAGGACACACACATGTGTTCCTGGCTTGACAACCACACCTGGGCCAGGAACTTGTGGCTGGGAGCCTGTAATTTAATAAATATTCATAAATAAAAATAACTGTATGTTGTGTGCAGTATTTTTCAATTTAAAATTCACAGGACAGTGAGTGCTCACCTTTTGTTTTAACACATACTTTAACCAGCAGGTTGATACACCTGTAAGACAGTTACAGTTACATGCTGAGTTAGCTTCACTTTATTGGCACAAAAAGGGAAAACGGACCTGGTGTAGTGAGTCACAGCTTGTTTCCAGTCCTTCAGCTGACTGTAGCAGTGACCCTGTAGTAAGTAGGCAGTTCCAGTCCAGAACAGCACTGCTGCCTTATCTTCACCATTGTCATCATTGTCTTCACCATGACTTCTTTTCTCTGGATCTTCCAACACCAGCCTCTGTGGCAGCAGTTCCAATGTTGTGTTGATGACTTCATTGCAAAGAGCCATACAATCAGCAGGACGACATGCCATGAGCAAGGCAGCACCAGCCTCCAGGTAAAGCTCAGGCAGCCTGGGATAATCAGGCACTTTACTATTAATCTGTTGGAAAAACAAAAAAGCTTAGCTTTGCTTATTGCTTGTTATACATATTAATTTTATTGTAAAAGTCAAAATAAAAAAGCAACCAAAAGTAAAATTTACAGGTACAAAAAGCTTGCAAAAAGTTAAGGGTAAATTGGTGTACCTGTTGGGGAGAACGCTAAAGATATCCAAGATTTTGTTAAAGTAGCTAAAAACAAAGGTAACCGCTATGCCAAACAAAGCAAACACTTGTTCTGACTTTGCTCTGTCTCTTACAGGCTGTTGATCCTCTGATTGGAGAGTAGCCAGCAAGTCCAGATAATGATCCACACCCTCTGCCAACCTGTAGAAACAGAAACCACAGCCGTTCAGCAACTGCAGTGAAACAATATTGGACATAATTGTTCGTTTTTACAGTTAAGAGGCAGGGCCCCTCCTCACCTGTTGTGGAGCACACATTTCAGGGCCAAAGTGTGAAGGACAGAAAGGGCAGAGGGAACGAAGTGCAAAGTGTCAAATGACTGGCTGTGTAGCAGCAGAGACGGAGAAAGGAGTTGAGCATCGGCCAGAGGAGGCACTACAGGAGGAGGCAACATCAACGTCTATGGGACAGGAGAGGTTTTTATGCAACAATATAAATAAGTGTGTCCACAGCATTAGTGATAATTATTTAAACAGTGAAATATCTCTGTGTTTATGATTTTTTTATCTTACACAGCCAAATTCATATTTTATATTAAAACAATATGTGTCACTCACGGAGTACAGCAGACAAAGAGCTTGAATCTCAGCCTGTGTGTTTCCCAGTTGTCTGTAGATGAGCACACTCTGGTACAGAGCACAGACACAACTGTAGTCAGTTTCCAGTGCCTTCTTGTAACACTGCAGTGCCATCTGAGGGCAGTTCTGGAGACAAAGAAAACACACTGAGGTTCATGAAAGTGCAGAAAGCAGAATATTCAAATGCATGATGGAGCCCTTTATTTTTCTTATCAAATTTAGAAGGAATGGCTACCATTTGAACAAAGCAACAGCCACAAAGGTGATGAATATAAGCCAGAAGGATCCTAGGTGCAGGTAGGGACGAGGCTTTCTGCAGACCAGACAATGCCTCTAAATTCTGTCCCTCTGCGAGTCTTTCAGCACCTTCATCAAACATAGTACAGAAAAACAGCTTTAAGAAGCTTTAAGTCGCTACAAACAGATCTTTATTCATCTTCTTTCGAAAGCAAAGCAAAAACATTATCCTTTCCATCTAGTTTGGCATTACTAACTGACACTGACCTACTCTGCTTATTTACGCTGAGAACTATCTCAAACTGTTGCCCATCCAATAAGACAGCTGGACTTGTTCATTCCTCAATCACTTCACACCTAGATTATTGCAACTCACTTTTTTGGGTCTAACTGATACATTAAAACACAAACTACAACAATTTGAAAACTCAGCTTGGTTGGCTCCCAATAACATATCTCCTACAAGACCCTGCTGCTCTCATACAACGCTATAAGCAGCAAAGCTCTAAAGGGTGCCTATAGTTTTTAATAGAAATCTGGCCCAGAATATGTGATAAACAATTTGATGAATTATATGTTCACAATGTAACTTTATTAAATGTTTGAGTTAGAAGCACCTATGCTGCTGCTAATTGTATTGTGTGTTTTCAATCTCTGTTTGCCTATATAAATCTTACAATTTAGGAACATACTATATGACTAGATACGTTTAAATCATTGTATTTTTGTAATCTGGCATTTTGATCCTGCACATCTGTTAATTTATTAAAATAGAAACATAAAAAGGTACTTTATGTTTTGTTTTGTAGTGTTACAAATGCATTTGGTTTTTTAAAGTGCGCATAACCTGAAACAAATATATTTGCTGACCTTGGGCAACGGAAGTCCAAATCTGCAATAATTCAGCAAGCCTTCTTGGCTCCATCACTAGCAGTGGCGTGTAAAGAAACTTTTCTACTTTTTTACACCCCATGTCATTTTCAGCTCCGGCACATAGTGTTTTAGTCAGAGAATACAGGTCCTCCTGCATTGCAGGAAAGAAAAACATAAGTGAAACAATGCTACACCATTGCACTAGCATTGGTAAACACAAAATAAGGAAACAAACATCATCATGTCACATCATGTCTAATTTAATTTAAATGTATGGCTACAGTCTATGTAAGAAAGTCATTAATGCTACAAACAAACAAGGTTGAAATACAACCTTACCTCAAATTCCTGTACAGCTTTCAGCTTACACGTGGCCAACCATATTAGCCACTGTGAGCATAGTAGGTTTAGGACAAAATTATTCAAAGTTGTGTTTCTGACTGATTTTAAGACCTTTTTCCAAAATGCAGGGAGATCTGATGCCACGGATTGAGGGGCTTCATCTGTCGTCTGTAAAACTTCAGGACACAAATACAGACCATAAATGACACAGATAGAAAACATTAAGGGGCATGGTATATATCTTATAGCTATGTCATCATATAACATCATCAGGCCACCTCTCTGTATGGACTGTGAGAGGATCAGCACAGAGTCTGTGAACCGAGATTGAGCAGTGAAGCATAAACATGTGTTGTAGGCCACTGATAGCTCCAAATGGGTGTCATCCGCAAGTGGAGGGACACCTTCAAGAAAGACAATAACAATAGGAGGCGAATAAGGAAAGTAAACAAACTGAATTTAGGTCTACAGCTTTAGCAACGTATGCATTTTATATTTAGAATATTTAGCACCTTGAACTTTACTCAAAAGTTTGTCAAACTCCAAGGAGCACCACCGCAGATGATTCTGGTTCTGATCTCTGCTCAGTGAGTGACTGCTTTCAACCCGCTGTCAAAATGAAATAGGAGAAAATATGTGTAAAATATATACATAACTGAAAGAGAGGTACTTTAATTTATGGCTATCATGAGAATGCTTTTATTTGCTCTTTATTAATTATATATCTCTGCACTTCAGGGTAAAGTAAAATGATCTTTTACTCACAAAGAAAACATTTCTACATTTAACTCAAAATGGCATTATATAAAACAAGTTTAAATTGTCTGGTTTATAACAAGTTGTTTGTTTATAACAAGCAATATCACAAATGTCGTAGATGTTAAAGACGAGACCTTAAATTTATATTTTAATCGTACCTTCAATTTCTGTACCAACGCGTTGTTTTCCTGAATCCATTTATAAAGCAAAGATGTAGGTCGATACATTTTAAACAAGAAATGTGTTCGTTTTGTTACAAAAACAAACCGTTTTTAAAATTTCCCTCGTCTCTGGAGAAGCTAACAGGAAGTAAACTGCGAGATGACTCACTTGATCAGGCAGTCCTGCCACTGGTGGACACATCTGAGAATTACATGAGGAGGTTGCACTGCAGACATGTGGTCGGCAGGTGGTTCTGTCAGAACGACAGCCGCAGATTTGTTCTGGAAACTTAAGTCATCCTTCGTTGGCAAATGTTTTTGTTTATGTTGTTTTTATGTTAATTTTATGAAGTCTTCTCTAAATTTTGAGGTTAATATATACATTCATTTATATGTATAACTACATGGATATATACTAAAGAAAATCTTATTTCTAAGACATAAAACTAAGGAGTCTGAGTGAAATAAATATAACACAAGGGACTGAATAAATAGTCCACTGGATTAAGTTTACATCTAATGTCAGAATTTTGGAAAAACACTGGAACTATAAATAATGAGAATGACAGCAATAGCCTTTGTGAATAATGCCAGTAAAAAGTACACATATATCCTTACGATTACACAACTTTAATGTGCTTTGACGTGCTATGCTTCAGCAGCCCTGTCACAGTGTTATACTATTACAATCACACACACACACAAACATACACAGTCTAATGCAAGTTAAAACAAGCCAAGACCTTAATTCTATTACAGCTGAGTCATTCCTGTGACTGCCAGTACAGCTATTTTTCTGGTTGTCCCTCCACAAGGTGACTCCCTCTCTTCTCAGCCAGTCATCTTCTCTATCCGCCTCCGTCATCGCACCATCACCTCTTCATCTCTGTTCTTGTAATTGCCTGATTCTCCTTCCTTTCTTTCTAAAAATAACCCCATTTAAATAAAACAAGGGATGCTCCTGACATTTACTTCACTTTACATTTATGCAGCAATAGAGACATGCACACACAGGAAGCACTGGACACATCTCCTGTTACCCTTCTATTCGTCTTCCTATTCCTCTGAGAGTGGTTTTCTGACATTTTTCCCTCTGCATCGATCCTGCCATTTTCCATCTTTGTCTCAGTTCGTCTGAGCCCGTCAAGGACAAGGACACTGTGGGAAGAGGATCCCGCTTTCTATCCCCTTTTTCTCCTCAATGTCACCTGCATAGCAAGACTCCAAACAATAATTAAATAAGCTGTGGTCATTTCCCAGGTGGCATTACTGGTAAGCAGAATTCATGAAAGCATATTTCTGTTTCAGACTCTAAATGAATGTGTCTTTCAGGGTACCAGCTGTCTGTGACAGGACAACACTCATTACTCTGGTGTGAATGGTAAACTTTTATGAGTTCCTCAACCTTGAACTGCTGTAATTAGCCCCACAATTTTGGTCTTATGTTCATCACATATCACAGTTTACTGAAAGTATTTTCCCTCATCAGATTTCAGCTTCTAACATTTAGTTTAAAATCACCAACATGAGCCTCCGAACATGAGATTCTCATTTGTGGGTAATTTAATTTTGCTAACTCTGCTTCCTTGTCCTCATTCATAAAACATGAAGCAGGTGATGAAGGTGGGGGAACGCATCACATGTCATTTTAGTCCCATGTGTGCCCCAGCCCATGTGATATGTGCAAAACACGTAACAACGAGTTTCTGAATAGTTGTAATTGCAATGATAACAACCAATTTGTTTCAAAAGATTTAGCAAGAATAAAGATATATGGTCTCACAACACACTAATGGGAAACAGAGGCAAGTGTACTACTGAACCACAAATACACATTTTAACTAACTGAAAGTATTTGGAAAAATTTTAAAGGGTATTTTTGTCAACCCTTGTAGTATTAAAAACTTGAGCCAATTTACAGACAGTGGTTACTACTGTCTGATTCCCCAAATCATCAAATTGTCTAAAATACAGACCTGGCCTGTTTACTGTTTCTTTTAGTCTTTTAAGATATGTGTTGTGTATCTTCTGGAAAGATATTTGAGCCACCTACTGGAAAAAACTAATGGGCCTAGCATCAATGTCATTTGCTTCTGGCCATGACTGCATGTTGTATTTGGTTGAGATAAATAAGGTTTAATACATAAAATTAACCACATTTATATTTCTCTGAACAAGATATTGCAATAAACAGTGGAAACGTGTAAAATCAGCCAAGAAATGCTGTAATATTTCAAAAAATAACAGGGTGGATATTTGGTGAATATTCCGGAAGATATTGTTATCTGATATGACAAAGGGTGAGGTCCTAGAGGAGCCAATACAGAACTAAATCAACACCTTTTTTCTATTTAGACAGAAAATGCAGTATTTTTTTAGATACATATATCTAATCTAATAGTGTATTCTCCCACTTAAAGGGAAAGGGTGAAGAGTTTTCCCTGACGCGGCCTGCAGAATGAACTCACTCACCCTAATTTTGAGCAATCGATAGGTGCTGTTTGTGTTCCTTAGAGCTCATCATCTTCTCTGAGCAGACATCCTTGTAGGTCAGCAGCAGCTGCTCAGTATGTGTTTGTGCGAATGCTGTATCATCGTACAGCTCAGTGGATACCTCGATGTGCAGGTAACTGTGAGCTGCCCTTAAAGGCTGCCTGTATTTCTTGGAGAGTATTCACTAGTGTTGTTGCACTAAGTTGTTGTTGTTGTAAGACATGAAACATACACAATGAAATATCACATACAGCAACAGAAGGGAGGAGAAACAATTTTATGACTAGTAAGCAAATGAGAAAGAGAGCAAGAGAAAGTCTGTCAATGGCCCAGCAATTGAGTCAAGCCCCACGGGGAATGGCATGGATCTGCAAACTCACACTGCAGCAGTAAAGAGAGGATCAGCAGAACACATTGCACACTTACAAAATTGGATCATTCTGAATTTATACCTGAAACTTGAATGGGAACTAAAAACAATACTGGGGTGGCTACGGAGGACACAAAACAATGCAAAGAAAGTTAATAGTATTAATAAAAAAAAAAACACAACAAAAAAACGGTTTACTGATTGAAATTATGTTAGCATAAAAAACATGGTTGTTTCAGCTCTGGATGTTTCATCAGGTCTGCACAAAGACATGCTTTTTGGACACCTAAAGCAACACTCTGAACTGAGCTGAATACTGATCAGCCAGGTAGTTGTAGTTCTATCTTCAAGTAAGAGTAAGAGTCAATGCAGAATGGTAATCTACATCCTGGTGTTCCCCTGGGTACGACAGACAACTAATACCTCTACCGCAGTGGTTCTCCAACTGTGGTACGAGTACCACTAGTAGTACGCAAGTGCTCTCTAGTGGTAAAAGGGATTTAAAATAAATCTGAACCATACCATGCACAAGTAATACAACATTTAAACATAAACATCTTTATAAGCATCTCTCCTGTGTGGTGTAAGCTAACAGTGAAGGCCTATGCTGCTATATTCTAATGTTGGTCATCATTGTGGTACTCAGGGAGCTCAGTCTTTTCTCAGGTGGTACAGAGTACAACAAGTTTGAGAACCACTGCTCTACATTCGCTCGTGTGGGTTAAATAACTGCAAAAGTCCAGCCAACTTATAATGTGCAGGACATAAAACACATTATTGGAACAACCAACAATAACAGGACACAAAAGTGGACAGACTGTAATATTACAGGAGGAGTCAGTCTGTCAGAAGCAGAACAGAAAAGAATATCAGTAAAACTTTTATTTTACAGCTTTACAGCTCATCACCACGGTGCGCAAAGTGTGTAGTTCTGTGGAGGAAAATATGTCCCTTTAACTGGAGTGCGCTCTTCTGCTGACTCTGTGACTTTCCCCTCCCTCCTATATAAACGCAGAGCCCCACCATCTGCAGTCACTTCTCCTCTGATTCGGTCAACATGAGTTTTACGGCGGAGCATCACTTCTTCGGGCCGACTTCGTACCGCAAGGCTCGTGCGGTGTCCGTGTCCTCCAGCGGTTTCCACTCACAGCGCCGCCGCCTCACCTATAGTCAGCCGTCCACCGCCGAGAGTCTGGACGCCTACAACGGAGACATGACCAGGAGGAGCGAGAAAGAGATTCTGCAGGCTCTCAACGACCGCTTTGCCGGTTACATAGATAAGGTGCGCAACCTGGAGATGCACAACCGCAACCTAGAGGCAGAAGCCGCGGCTCTGCGCCAGAGCCAGGCAGGGCGCGCCTCCATTGGAGAGCAGTACGAACAGGAGCTGAGTGACCTGAGGAACATCCTGCAGCAGCTGACCGGAGAGAAAGCCCGAACGGCTCTGGAGCATGACCACCTGGAGGAGGACATTCAGCAGCTAAGGGCCAGGCTTGAAGATGAGGCGCGTAACCGGGAGGAGCTGGAAGCTGCAGCTAGAGCCATGAAGAAGTATGCCGAGGAGTGTCGTCTGGCTCGCCTGGAACTGGACAAGAAGCTGAGAGCCCTGGAGGACGAGGCAGTCTTTCTCAAGAAGAACCACGAAGAAGAAGTGTCCGAGCTCCTGGCCCAGATTCAGGGAGCGGAGGTGAGCTTCGACATGAGGGACTCTCTGAAGGCTGACGTTACCAGCGCACTGAGGGAGATCCGAGCACAGCTGGACAGTCACGCATCCAAGAGCACCACGCACGCCGAGGAGTGGTTCAAGGGTGAGTTTTCCAAATCTACTGTATGTAGTCAAAATAAAAAAGTAAAAACAAACTAAATGAAAATATCTGTTGCGCTCAGCATTTCAAACAGTATTTGCTCTGTCCATGGTTCTAAAAGTCACCAACCTCTCCCATTGCGACATGGGGAGCTTTTTCTTCTTCTTATAAATATAGATTGTCTGCACTCTTCCCGCAGTAATTAGAAATTCTTGTTTGCAAATGTTTTAAAACCTGGAGTCAATGCCTGTATAATACCAACAATCGTTTGACCATACGGATCATGTTGTTTGCACGGTAATATCACTTGGTGTTGTGGTGCAAAACCATGTCCTGCTATTAGCAACTTAAAACATGTTTGCATGATGCACTGAACATATAGACATAAGAAACTGATGTATAATGTAAAAGCCCTATATCAAACAATCAACTGTATCATCCAGAATCTATAGGCGCAGTGATTAATCATTACGAAGCCATTGTTTTTAATTGAGGCAAGAAAAAACATCTTAAGAGCAGTATATATCACTAACTAGATAAATGAGAAACAACAGCTTTTAACACAACGCTGTGCTGCTCCTTACAATGGGAAGGGTCAGAGCAGATTTTATTTTGGGAGGACATGAGATGTTTCCTGCAACAGGGATCTGTGTTAAAAAAATAAAAACTTTTGCCCTTCCAACCTCTGCAAACATCATTTGAGAGGAAAACAGCAATTGTTATGAGCCCAGTTGGCGCTAGAACGCTGAGCCCCTGCTCTTGCCTTATGATGACATGTTAATGTCATTCCCAAAAGTGTAGCTGATTCATATCAAAACCAAAGTGCATCCAAAATTATTTCAAATCAGGATAGCCAATTCAGAGTAAACTAATTTACTAAGTTTGTGTAACCCCGTGATAATATTGTCTCTGTACTGAGGAGATCTCATTTAGTGAAATTATTTAGGCACCACATTCAAATATGAACAAAATATCCCGAGTGCTCTGAAAAGTCGATTTATACTGCATATGTATGACATTAAACCTCCTCCTAAAGAAAAGGTTTCACAATAAGTTATTCTCCTTGTGTTTAACATTTTCAACTTTTATACATTAGTGTATGAAGAGAAATCACTCCCTGTTTCTAGAAGAACGTGAGCATGTTTTGTGTTACTCCATAAGGTTTCCAGTGAAGGAAGTAACAGTCGATGTTTTGACCTTTTGTACCACATGTATTTTTTTTTTTTTTGCAATGATTGATTTAAATGTTTTCAAAAGCATAAAGTCATGTAAAGGTCATTGGGAACAGAGGGCAGTGGATACATCATCACCATACTACAGCATGGTAAGATTAATTGCACCAATAGTGTACCTATTTATGACACCACCATTGAGGGCCGAGTAAGGTTACATGCAAGCAGCAGTTTAATGGCATGTCAGTCTACTAAATGGGCTATGAATTGTCACATGCGGTCAGCAATTGTTTACATGCTGACCTGATGGACTCAGTAAAAGGTCCAAACTGAGTGACCTTCCCTGTGTCCAGCTGACTGCAGTGCTGATGCTCATTCAAGCTTGGACGTGAGGAATGAAGCTGAGTCAGACCAGTGACTGACAGTGGTCACAGTCAAGGTCACTCAGGTTTCCCAGTGGTGACTGTCTGCTCTCAAAAGCCCCAAGTTGAGACAGACAACAGCTCAAATTTCCTGGGGGTAAAAACAAAGGCCAATGTATGTCCTGCAGGCTCAATAAAATGCTGAATATCTGTAATGGAAACCCTTAAAGCTCTTCAGTGGCTTGTAAATTAAGAGGTATTTTAAAGAGTTTTATAAGTATCATACATTCATTGTGTCTGCAATCCCTGTAGTGCGTATGGATCACCTGTCTGAAACTGCGAGGTCTAACCAGACTGCAATCCGCACGACGCAGGATGAGATTGCAGACTACCGTCGACAGCTCCAAAACCGCACTATTGAGCTGGAGACCCTCCGAGGAACCAAGGAGTCATTGGAGAGGCAGCGTTTGGAGAGCGAAGACAGACACCATGATGATCTCAACTCACTACAGGCATAAATACATCACTCATCCTTTAGGAAGAAACCCATTAAGCGCATAGGGCTTTTTATAGATCAAAGTTATATATCTCTCCTGAAAGAACGTCTGCATGTTTTATTTTACAGGAGACCATTAATCAGCTGGATAACGAGCTGAAAACCACCAAATGGGAGATGGCCAGCCAGCTGAAGGACTACCAGGACCTTCTGAATGTAAAGATGGCCCTGGATATTGAGATTGCAGCTTACAGGTTGGAAAGGGTTCAATTTGATTGACTCCTTTGCTTTTTAATGAGATATGGTTTTGACATTTTACTCCATACGGTTTGTCTTGAAAACAGGAAGTTGTTAGAAGGAGAGGAGAAACGCTTTGTGCTGGGAGGAGGTGTGTACTCTTACCTGGAAGGCAGACTCTCTTCTCACCTAAAAATGAAGGGAGAGGAGATCTCAGACACAGTCATAGTGGAGGAACAGACAGACGAGACCCAGGTGACAGAAGTAACCGAGGAGGCAGACGAGGAGGCAGACAAGGAGGAAAAAGAAGAAGAGGAGGAGGAAGAGGGAAAAGAAGAAGAAGAAACTAAAGATGAGGGAGAGGAAGGCCAGGAGGAAGAAGATAATGAAGTTGAGGAAGAGGTAGAGGAAGAACAGGAAGAAGAAAAGGAGGAAGTAGCAGATGACAAGAAGGAAAAAGAGGAGGCAGGCGAGTCTGAATCACCAGAAAAGGCTGCATCCCCTCCTTCAAAATCCCCACAACCAGAATCTCCTGTCAAATCCCCAGAATCTAAATCTCCACAAAAATCACCAGCTTCTAAATCACCTGCTAAGTCACCTGCAGTCAAGTCCCCTGCAGGAGATGATTCAAAGTCACCTGCACCAAAGTCACCTGTGTCAAAATCCCCACCCAGTAAATCCCCTGAAGCCAAATCTCCTTGCCCTAAAACCCCAGAACCAAAGTATCCAGAGAAGGAAAAACCAGCCCCTGGCAAAGATAGTCCTAAAACTGAGAAAAAGGAGGAGAAACATCAGCCCAAGGAAGATAAGAAAGAAAAAGAAGAGCCTGTAAAGGAGGAGAAGAAGGAGACACCCAAAGTGCAAGAGCCAGAGGAGAAAGCAGACAAAGCTGACTCAAAGAAGGAGAGCAAAGAGGAAACTACAAAAAAGGATGATGCTTCAAAAACTGCTCCCAGCAAGCCTGCAGAAGGCAAACCCACCCCAAAGACTGAGGCTAAAGAAAGCAGTGCCTCTGCCAAGGAGAAGCCCACTGCTCCAAAAGCAGAGAAGGCAGAACCTGAAGCAAAGCCTGCCTCTAAGGTAGAACCAGAGAAAAAAGAGAGCAAGACTGGAGAGAAGGAGCCCGAGAAGCCAGCGCCTAAAGCTGAGCCTGAAAAGGCTGAGACAAAAAAAGAGGAAAAACCATCCCCAAAACCATCTCCCGAAAAAACAGACACGAAAAAAGAGGAGAAACCAGCTCCCAAAGTTGAGCCTGAAAAAACAGACACGGAAAAAGAAAAAAAAACAGCTCCTAAAGCTGAGCCTGAAAAAACAGAGGTGAAAAAGGAGGAAACGCCTGCTCCTAAAGCCGAGTCTGACAAAGCAGAGAGCAAAAAAGATGACAAGAAGACAGAGGAGAAAAAGGACACAAGTAAAGAAGAAAGCAAGGCGGTGAAAGATGCAGGAAAGGCAGAAAAATCATCTGCCACTGAATCAAAGGAGACAAAGGAGGAGAAGACCAAGAAGTAAAAGTGAGAAGCCGTGGTGGAGATGCCAAAGAACCTCTAAGGGTGGGCAAGGTAGAGACGCTGGAGGTTTCCAGGTGTCCACAGACTGACACCGAAGTGTTTCAATAATGCAGGTAATGGTATGTAAGCAATAGTGCTTTCTGTAGCAAATAATCCCCCGCTGCCCATGTATGACCATGACTCTCCCTGATGCTTCTGATGTAACTGTAGTGAATGCTGAATGCTCTAAGCTCCTCATCTGAATGTGACGACTGCCTCTAACAAATAAGTGCATCTACACTAGAAACGCACTGACAGGGACTGCAGGGGTCGCTGTAACACATCTTCTACATTTCACGATGTAAAAAATCATGTCAAGTTTAAGTTTGTGACAGATGTCTATTTAAAGAGATACAAATGTCTATATTATATTTACAGATACACTTCACTGACGAAAGACTTGAATTTTGCTTGTTGTGCACCTTAACGCAGCTTCTCGTACCAGGTGAACTGCATTGTCTCACTCCTCTGGTCTGCAGTGCTACGACAATGATGACTGTGCTATGTATAAACTGAGAATATGCAATACGAAACAGCTAATAAAGGAGGAAAAATGAAAAGCTATTTTTTTCCTGTGGGTTTTCTTTGATGATCACAACTACAGTGCATGTGGTGCCAAATGAACTGTCAACAGATGATCTGACAGAATGTGAAGCTGAAAAGTAAATGCTGGGAGTGCACTGCATTGCGGTGAAGGAGAGGGGGAGCTCTTCCCACCCACGGCAGCCTCTGCATCATCAGGGTCCCACAGACCGTTTTCATGTATAAATCATCAACTGTGCTCTGTGCCTGCATGCAATGCTAAGAGATCACACACTATAGGATTATACACATTTCAATACAAACCTGACACTTCTGTGTAAGATAAATAAAAATTGCAAGTATAAAATAAAATATAAACACATACACTCCACCAGTCATTAGGTACACTGCTGAAATAAAACACCGGCCAAAGATAGTGAAGTCACTAACGAGGTTTCACCTTCGATCTAGAATCTTCCATCAGGTCTAGAACTAGCCAGGATCAGATCCAATGTACCGGGTGAAACCTGATGTTCTTATATTCTTATTTAACAAACCACATTCCCAATTGTGCTTTACACTGTCAAAAGGCATGCAATATGTATTATATAAATCTAATTCAGTTCATTACTCCCACCTCTACAACAACTAAACTCGGTGAAGTATTGGCTTGCTACAACTCTGCTGTTCACAACAACTGTGTATTACACAAATACAGAACTGCAGGGTGTGGCTCATATATAGCACTTCAAAACATCCATAGAGCTTATTGATGTCATTCAGCCCTTTGCTCACTGTGGCTTTATTTCCATAAGAAAGAGTATTTTAGACATGAGACAGCCAATGATGTAACAGTAAGGAAACAAAATACTTCATGCTGTGTACCACTGACAAAGTCAAGGGGCTCATATAGGGACAATTCAGTTAATTTTCTGGCCTTTAGCGTAATTTATCCAGAGACTCAATTCAATGCCATAGTCAAACTCCTTCAATAGACTTAAATAACTAAATGCTGTCACCAGGACAATAGATGATTAGTTAAAGGTCAACTGTCGAAACAGCGAATGTCATATCCATCAGACATGATTCTGAAAACATGACTCAGCTAAGAGCCAGCACTGAACCACAACAGCATAACAATCAGCCTATTGCAGACGGCACCTATAAATAGAGCAGCAGTGAGAAGGCAGAGAGAAGGATAGAGCTTTTACAGCAACAACAACTACAACAACTCGAGTCAAAAAGAGCAGACACCCAGGCATTCAGGACACTTTTTTTTTAATTTTTACGATTACTACGGTACTAAGAATTAAAAACGAATTAAGTTGTGTGTGAAAATCACAAAGCTAGGCTTAAGTAGAGTGGTAGAGTAAAGCAGTGAGGCTCCAAGGCTTAGCGATGACTGAAGAATCCCTGGGGATGGTTGTACTTGAATGGCTTCAGACGATTTGGACCTCTGGAATTGAAAAGAAGAGACAACTACCATCAGTGTTTGATCATCAATGCCATGGAAGTTGTATTAGAACAAATTCTTTCCTTACTTAATTAGTGGTTAGTGGTTGTTAGCCTCTGCTATAATCCCATGTGTTCCTTACTATTCCTCACCACCATAGTCTGAGCTGCTGAAGATGTTTAATGGCGTTGCTTAAAACTCATCACTTTTACTAATGTGTCTCAAATCTGCTTTCACACATTTCTTTTTTTAAGAAAACCAATCTATTATGGAAGACATCGATTCTGGGTCATGTCACGACATTGCACTTAGTCAGCACTTTTAAATGTACAAAATACTGTTTCAGTGAAGGGTCTGTTGGTTGCCTCAACAGCCTTTGTTGTTTTCTGTTCATCAATTGTTTCTTGGCGATATCACTTTTTCCCCAAAGACAGGTCAGGACAGAAATATAAATAAACTATGACTGTACCTGACAGTTCGTAGACACATTTTTTCTCTGGGAAACTCCCGTGGACCTTCCACTCCATCATCGTGTTCTTCGGTCTCTAAATAAACATCCAGGCAGACACACAGACGTGCCATCTGATTGGTGAGGAGCTGGTGTCCAGGATGAGGGCCTTGAAGCTCACTTTTAAACACGTTCACCTCACTCTCCATGGCCTTAAGACAAGACAAGAGTCAGATAATTGATGCTAGTAGCATAATAGATGCTACAGTGAAATCAAACAGAAGTAGAAAAGAAGGTTTTAGGTGAATTGTTATTGTAATGGCCGTACTCTGAGGTTGTCATCGGTACGTCCACTGCGTTCGCCCTTCCAGCTCAGAGAAAGGGAGAACAGAGGAGAGACCTTTGGGTAACAAGGACTCAGCACCACTGCTGCCTGGAGACGAGCTGTTGAACAGACACGGTACATACAGAAAAATTAGGTCCAAACAAGTGATCAATAATGAACTCATCAAGCAGCAGGGATTCGTATCTACCTGTGCCTCTTTCAACCACTGCCATGAAGTACATATCAGTCTCCTTTGCCAGGCCAGCCTCAGTCACATGACCTGTATATGGTAGAACCTTCTCAGAAGAACAAAAGACAAAAATTATAATTTCAAGGTATTTGTCTAAAGTGCAACTGACAAAGCATATTTCTTTGTGTGTACCATGTAGTCCTGGTGTGTAATGGTGGTCCAGCAAGCTAAACGTGAAATTATCTTGGCAGGAAAGAGATGCTGGCACTCACTGGTGATGGGGATGATGCTGTGCTCTGAGGGCAAAAGGACAAACAAACTCAGTTACATGATTGCCAGTGGAAAACAGACCAGCACACAGCTCACTGTCCAGCCTTGAAAGAGGTGGTAGAAAACTTTTGTGTAACAAAATAAGTAAAATAAAATATTTTGTTATACAAATGCCTGTCCTTTACAGTTTATAATAGAGAAAGAATTGTTGTAACACTGTTAGAAGTGAACTGCCCCACAGCTCAGTACTGCAGTACTCACTAAGGCAGTGGTTCCCATAGTGAGAGCCTGGAACTTACACAACAGCAATTTCTATTTTCTTTCGCCCCAGAGTGGGATAATTTCACCAGTTTGTAATTCTATTTCCTTCATTCCATCCACAAAAGGGAAGTGCTGCAGAAAGGGTGTTTGTAGCGTCCCCAACTGGTACGTGATTTGAGCTCAACAATACTCATTTCATATACATAAACATTTCCAGAAAACTTAATGTTTAAAAGTGATAATGTAACAAAGAACAAACCTAAAAAGACAAATTGTTTGTGCAAATCCATACGGGAGTGGACTCGTTTTCGCAGAAGCTTTATGGTGCTCTCCATGTGGCTGGCACTCAAGGAATTGCCAACGGGAACGGTCTGAGGAAAAATGTCCAGTATGACAAAACTGTAACGCAGTAAATCAGACATTTAATGAGGTTATTCTCAACACAAGCTCATACCTCTGAAGCATCGATACGGAAATTAAGCCCCCCGAGATACTGAACCCACGTGTAGG